ATCTGGATATTATAATAAAATCCTGCTATATTAATTAAATCTTTGGCTTTAATTTAATTTCTAATACTAACTATAATTCCTGTATTTAAATTTAATTTAACTATCTTTATAAAATCTTTCTCTTACTATCAATTGCCTGGCCGCTGATTATCTCTGAGATCTTAATATAGAATCTATTGGTCTTGCTATATTTTTAGGTTCTAAATTTCTTACTATGGAATCTTTGCTATTAGAATTATAATTATATTATAATTCTTTCTAATATTTCTATAATTCTTATTCCAATACTTCTTATTATCTTTATAAACCCTGGTATTTCTATCCTTAATTATTTAATAAACCTGTATATTTTCACTAATCTGGTCTAGCTAATCCTAATATATCTATTTTTCTCAGTCCTGGCATCTATATATATTGCTTAAACCCTGATACTTTAATAAATCTCACATGTTTTTATTGGTTACTGGAAATTAATGGAATTCTGTAGATATTATATGGAAAATAATATATATCTCTATATTAATATAGGAATATCTAATCTTTTGGATCTTTTCTCTATAAACCTGAATATCTTTGGAATATTAATATCTGGTATTTCTGGGTCAAATTTCATATTCCTCTATAGAATGCTTGGACTGGGATTAATATTACTTGGAAATCTTGATTGGGAATCTCTTAATTAACCGGCGATTATATTATATAACTCTAATGGATTTATATAATCTTGGCAATATTATATTATTATTTAAAATCCCTATATCTCTATATCCTATGCTACCCAATAGAAAATATATATTAAATCCGGTTAATTCTGATCCACTGAATATAACTATTCTGAATAAATCTAATTAATTATAATCTATTTAATTATTTAGACTCTTATTGCTATTCCCTTTTATTTAGAATCTGGATATCTGAACTAAACCCTTATATCTCTTGTAATCTCTAATATTTCTATTAAACCCTGATGTTACTGTTAATTCTTTATATTTAGACTAAATCCTTATGTTTCTATTCTACTCTAATATCTCTATTCTACTCTAATGTTTCTATTCTATCCTGATATCTCTATGATACTCTTATGTCTCTGTTAATTCTCTATATAACCGTGGAATTACTATATCCTTGCAACAAAATCAAAATTGTTGAATACTAAATACTATATATACTATAATCAATATATATAATTCACTGACAGGAATCCTGAATATACTTATAGACAAATAATCTATATTCCTGATAACTGTTAATATATATATATATTTTTTTATAATTCTTATATCTATAACTGCTATATATACTTTTATAATTTACTTATACTGATCCATAGTATATACTCTGGGGGTCTCTATATCACTAATATAGGTGGAACTGTATGTATAGTATACACTTCTGGATACTTAATATTGATTTCTGGATCCCTGGCAGAGGTGTGGAATAATGGCCAAAATATTAATTATATTGCTTTAAATTAAGTAAATATAACTCTGCTGCTGCTATTGGATGTCTTTGGTAATTCAATTCCTGGTAATATAATAAACTTCTATATCTTTATAGTATCTAACCTAAATCCTTATATATTTAATGCCCCTAATGTCTCTATAAATCCTTATATATAATAAATCCCTTATATCTCTATGAACCCTTATGTATTAACTATTCCTAATATATTAATTAACTCTGATGTCTCTATCTCTCCTGGTATTATTATCTATTCTTATAGATTTATTAATTTCTGGTATTCTCTCTGATACGTGACTGCTGCTCCAATTCTATACATGACTACTATAACTCTAATAATATAAACAGGTAATACTGGCCTGGGATTCTTGATATAGTCTTTCTGAAATATCTGTATCTGCTAGATATCCTGCTAATCTACCCTGCTTCTCCTGTTTCTCTGATCTATCTAGCTGATCTAGATAATCCTGACGGACCTGGCCACTATCTGGATACAGACTGGGGATAAATCCTAATAGATTAGTTTAATAATTATCTTTACTTAAAACTCTATATATAACTGCTCTAATAATTAAAATAATATTAATAACTGGTTATCCTGTTCTGGTATCCTAGTAATTTTCTATTCTAAATCTCTTTAATTTATATTCTGTATACTCTCTAAAATAACTAGCTATCCTTTTTGGTATACTGGCTATTTTCTATTTTAAATTCTTCTAATCTACTTACTCTCCTGTATACTCTTGGAAATGATTGTACCGGTGAGGCTATAATTGATATATACACTATTACTGGACCTGGCGCAATATAAATTCTATACTATACCGGAAAATCCTAATATTATAGAACTATATAAACCCTGATATCTTAATTTCTATCTTGGTTCCTTAATTCTCTATAGACCTATTTAATTCTGATATCCTAATAAATTATATATAATAAACTCTAATCTATACTACTATAGATACTACTGTAGTCTCTTGAACTGGGTGAATATCCTAATTAATTTAGTTTATAAAAACTCTAATAATCTAATATTTATTCTGTTAATTCTTCTAAAATATAAAATACTGTCTCTATAATAATGGCTGCTGTATTCTGATATATGGCACAGAATCTATTACTGGACCTGGCTTGATATAAATCCTATACAATACCGGAAAATCCTAATATTATATAGCTATTTAAACTCTTATATATTTAAATTCTTATAGATCTGAATCTGTCTATATATTATTATAATTTTCTTCTCTAATATAAATATATATATATATTGATCTCTAGATGGGATTATGGCATGTTATAATATATATATTAATGGGAATTAATTCTATTGAATAATCTATTATAATAATGGCTATTTATTATATGGCTCTAATGCTATATATCTCCAGGTATAATTAATAAAATAATAATAACTGGTAGTATTTTTCTGGTATCCTGGCTATTTCTATTTTAAACCCTTTCTAATCTGCTTACTATCCTGTATACTATCTGAAATGCCGGTAAATACTATAACTAATAACTATACTGACAGGGCTCTGATTAATATATATATTATTACTAATCCTAATAATATAAATCCCATAATATATCTAAATATCCTAATATTATATGGCTATCTGATCCTTATATTGTAATCTTCCTTGCCTTAATCCTGTTAATCCTGATTAATTCTTTAAATTCTGATATCTATAAAACCCTACTGTACTAACTAATCCTGATATATAATAAATCTTAATAATAATAAAATTCTGTTTATCTATCTAAATAGCATTAAATATTATAATATAGTTTCTGGATTATAGAAATAAAAACTACTAATACTACTATAATCTCTTAAGCTTAATAAATATCTTTTTTATTAACTAATTTCTCTACTGTATATATCTACTACTGGATATCAGGACCGCTCGGCTGTTGCTGTTCTATAATATAGATAATAGTAATCTGGGATATTATCATACTTTGTGGACTGAACAGATCTAAATATCCAGGTACCTGGCTAGACTGGCTATAAATAGAACAGATCAAATCCTATAAACAGATCTATAAATATAATAACCAATCTGGACTATATAAAACTTATTACTAACTAGATAATTCTAATAACTAATACTATTACTACTATTTCTATCTCTCTGCTACTTTTAGCTCTAAAAATCCTAATAATCTATATATAGTTTATTACTTTTTTAGTAACTACTAATAATACTGTCTTGATAATACTGGCTTCTATATCCTGATCTTTGATATAAACTATTACTGGACCTGGCTGAATAAAAATCTAACTATAATATTAAAAATCCTAATATAATATAGCTATTTTAATCTTTATATATCTAAATATATATCTTACTATATAGAATTGAATTCCTGATATATAAATATATATTGATCACTAGATAGAACTCTAAATCATAAAATATATATAGATAAAATTAATTCTATAAAATAATCTATAATTATAATAGCAGTTTCTTACGCTGCTCTAACTCTATATATATCCAGTATAATCAATAAAATAATATAAATAATTGGTTGTGCTGGCTCTGTATTCTCTCAGTAGCCTGTCTAAAAAACCGTGCTATCTACTGAATATCCTGACTGTCAGTCCTATGGCTGGCTAATTACTATTACTATAATGATTGCACCTGCTTAGTCTACAGTCCATACAATATTATAGCTACTATAGATAATAATATATCCTAGTATATATAATCTCTCCTGCCGCTCTACTATCCCTGATATATAGACTGGGACATATAACACCAAAAACATGCACTGAATCCAGTAAACTGGATCCTGATCTCGTGGATGTCCTGTATCTATTTTTTAGCACTGGCACTCTGGAGTCCCTGACAAAATATTAACTTATGCTCATGCTATTCCCAGCCGGCTATAATATATATATAATATTGCCGGATTCACTGCCTGGCCTCTCCTTTAATAAACTCCTTATTTAACTGTTGCTGGGAATTATATTCCTGCTGCTGGATCTTAGGGGCCACTTGCCGCTGGACCTGCACATACTATCACTGCCATTCCCGGATGCCAACCAGTGCCCTACTATCCAGTGGTCTCTCATCCGGGCAGGATAACAGTTCGGGACAGGACATGTGATTGGTATAGTCTATGGCCCGGGAGACAGTCTCGCGATAGGCCCTGGAAAGAATAGTGGGTGGCAGGACAACCCGCAGTGATGGGGCTTCACTAGAGGGGCTGGAACTGATCTTGTTATTCTCCTTAATTACCCCGGGGGAAACCCTGGATTCATGCGCTGCCCAATCAGGATTGTATCTATCACACAGGATCTTATCAATATTGATATCCCGGTACTGCTGTCAACAATATCCATCTACAGTCTTATCTAAATATTTATCTAATATATATTGTCGGCATCCCACACCCGCTATCATATCCATATATTCTTGGACTAACTTGTAATGGGCAGCATCCTCAGCCTCGGGGGGCGCGCAGGGGGTTATCCTGGCAGGTTAGATGATAATAGTCTCACTGCAGTGGCTATCACGGCCGGCTTATTTACTCTTCTGTACATAATCCAACAATGTCCGCGGCATCCCAATATGGATAATACTGTAGATATCAGGGATATCCACTTCTATTCCTAATATACTGATAGCAGCGATCACCATAGTCTCCCCCTGCATAAACCAGTGCAATATAAATGGCTTATTAATCTACTGGCTGTAATATGCTTCATATCCCAACACCCGGATAATACCCGTGATATGGCTCACTGCATGGCTATATATAATCATCTTTCCGCTGCCGGTCCACTGGATCCAGTCCCAGATAAATGCTATTACAGATTCAGTCTCAAACCACATGGCCGCCGGATAGAGGACTACAGGCTACCATATCCAGTATACTATATTGGGACAGCTGGTCCGCGCCCAGAACATGCTTACCTGCTCCTGGATATAACCCATCCAATGGAATAATAGAGTCTCTAACCGGGAAGGTAATATAGCAGTTAATAATACTATCTGTATGCAGGCATGGTTTAACTGGCTTAACTGCCATAACTCAGGCCGGAAATCCTTCTGGTTATTTAATATTATATAGCACTTGTCAATCATGATCTGGTCTAATTACCGGATCTACTATAATCAGTTAATAAATGTCTGAAAATCCTCAGTCACGGTAGACTTAGATGTGACTAACATAATTATGGCCTTATCCAGTAGCCAACAGCTCTTCCATAATATATATAATATGCTTAATACCTGGCACCGCCAGATTATATCCTGATATAATAATATTAATAGGATTACTATAATTGTCACGCCCCCGGGCTCTGTGAATGCAGGTAACATGAACAACATACTCTTGCCTCCCCCAGTAGGCATTACTGCCATTACAGGACTCTCACTATCCTGGATTACCCGCAATGCGGGAGCCTGTACACTGCAGAACTAAATTATCTTAAACCCGGTTATCCACTGCAACACGGTGCACATGTCCATAATATTTAATCAGTACCGCCATATAGTCCAGTTCTCCTTGGCCTTATTCTTCTACAGGGATTGCTTGTGCTTGCTGATCCCAGGCCCCAACACCGCGGTGGATATAAATCCTAAAAACTGATACTAATCAGTACTGGATAATTAAAATATAGCCCAGCGGTGCTTAGTAGTGCCAGCCTGCTCCATAATACCGCGCGCGTATACCATCCCCGCCAAATATAATAAATGCACAGCCTGCAAATCAGTAATATAGCTCATCCACTGCTCCTTATCTATGCTATCCTTCACATCTGTATTCAATGTGGCTGCTGCCAATTCCCGCTTCTCCTGTATGTTGCTGGCAAACGCGCTTGACGGCCGCATGAACTGCTGGCTGATTCTAATAGCAATATCCCGGTACGCAGTGATGTTAATGGCCTGGCCTAACTGTATACTGGTCTCGCGCTTCAACACCTCGCGGAACTGCTCTGACAACCATACCCGCTGCATGCCGGGATCAGGGCCCCATATATACATATCACGGGCCTTCGCGCCCCGGGAGGGGGATCCGGGGAATGTCTGATAGCAGTACCATGTCTTAAGCTGCTGGATAAATAGCAATACTAATTATAAATACCACACAATCAACTTCCCTATCTTCTGGGGTATATATTAGTGGATGATCTTCATATCATTACTGGCATAAAATCTCTTATAATATACAGTGACTAACATGACTATCCCGTCTTTAATATATATATTCTGCCATTAGTTGGTCTCTGTATTACTGTGCTGGATACTTAATAACTCAGGGGCCCGGCTGGGCTGCCTGGCCACTATATAGATTAACACGGCCAACTTCTCCTTAAACTGTGTGACCCAGTACAAATATCGCATGACCGCAGGGGCATACAATCACCAGGGCTGGCAGTGGACCGTGAACTGCACCTGCACAGACAGCTCAGTCCATATCTGCTGGATCATGTATAACTGTCCCACTACAGGCCATAATATGCAGGAATCCTACAAAAAATTCTATCCTGCCTTACCCTGGATAAGATCATTGTACAATTCCTGTTATGGGATGGCAGGCATAGCCTTCTGGCACTTTATATATAATAACTTGTATAAAATCTCCTGTATAGCTCTTACTAACCCATGTACTATACCGCGGAAATCGCCTATTGTGAACTGGATATGCTGGTACAACAACCAGTCCTGGTGTATCCATATTATATAGCTGGGGGATGTGGTGTTATAATGGATCTGTAACCCAAATATCTGCCAATCCTGTAATATCTACATCAGGCTATGGATCCCGTGGACCATGAACTGCTGCACTATCCACTGCACCTGTTCCTGGAACATCTTTAGACAGGATGGGGCCCCGCTGGGGATATCAGTGATCACTGGAAGATCACTACAGGCTATTGAGGATATAGACAGGAATAATGAAAATATTTACTGGGACTTTTTACTGCTGCTATATTCTTTATTAGTATAAATCTCAGCTAATATATTATCAGTACTGTTTAATACCTAATCTGTATAATAGTCTTCCTTGCGCCACATAGTAATAATCTTCTCAGGATATAGATCCAGCCACAATACCTTTTGTATAATTATTATACAGGCAACCTTGATCACCCGGGACAACACAGGGGGATATGTCTCAGGGATTTACCATCTATTAGGTTTCCAGCCCAATACTGCCATGATATATATCAATATACTCTTATACTTATAGCTGTATGGCTGCTGGTTCAATAACTTGATATAAAAATCTAAATATATATACTCTATCTGACTTATCTCCCACAGAACCTTCTCAGGATGGCGGGATTCTATCAGCTCAGGATCAGGTTAGATGGCCAACTGCCACAACTGCTGCTACTTCTTCCGCTGCCGGGATATCATGCCATATAATAGACTCTTCTATATATACAGGGCCTGTGTGCGGGCAATAAATGCCATAATCTGCTGTTACAGCTGGACATGCTTAACAATACTCTCTGTATCTATATATACCTGCAATAGCTGATACAGGGTCTGCCTGGTCTTAGACTGCACTGTCTCAATATAAATAGCCTGGCTGCTATAGTTCACTGTCTACTGGCTCTTGTACACTACCTGCTCTATAGTATCCTATAACCGGCAGATCCTCTGCTTAATGGGGTTCATAGACTCAGGATTAGGTGAGTCCACGCTGTTTAACATGTCCTGGGAGACAATATCCTGTAAATACTGGGTCTATCCAGTCACCTGTAACTATAGATTGGTATTAGTGATTTCTACAGCTTAGATAGTCTACTAGGCTTTCTTGGCCTTGGCCTCTTTCCACACAGTTATAACCTTGCCTACAGCCGCGTTAATATCTGCTATATCTATAGGAATTAATGGCTTCTCGGCCCTTGCTGCCTGTACATGGATAAAATGTGATCCGGTCCGCGATAGAAATATCTACTGGTATATGATAATAATATATGACTGCCATAACTCAGCCTCTTACTGGATATATTGCTCCCGGCGAATACGGCCGCCTTGGGGAAACCAGGACTATCTATAGATACTCTGCCAATAGTTCTGTATACTATAAACACTCCAGCTGATATATTGATACCGGGAATAATCCCATTGATATAACATGCTATCAGGGTATATGGGCAACCCGGGTAATGCCTGATCCATATAGTGTGGAATTATCACTATATCAGGCTGCTGGGCAATTCCCTCCCACTGCTGCACTGTGTTATGGATCTAGACAGCATCGGCATGTTTTATGTAATAGATATTACTTTTTAAATAATAAATAATCTCAGGAGGCCATATACTATACTGATATGATCAGTAAATAATAATAGGCAACTCTTCTAGCTTTTAGAATAATTGATATTCATGGCCTTCCATGGCAGGGTTCTCTTGATGTGGGTAGATAGTAGATTGATAATGTGGATATGGGAATAGATAGGAATACACAGGAAATAGAAAACATAAATTAATAGAGTATAGAATAGTTAAATAAATATATGATCTTAATTGCTGCCAATATTATCTCTAATCTGTCACGGGACAATAATGACTTGTTAACTTACTGAACTATAGAGATATTATATGAAACCCTAATATTTTATAATCAGCAATAGGTATTGGGCCTAATTAAAATGGATAGAATAGGGATACTTGTCTACTGGACTATATTTAATATAGATACTGGATATATTGCTCTTTCTATAATAGAATTGGTTAATAAAATTATATGGATTTGTTTGACAGTCCTGCCATATAATCATATTACGGCTGGTGGTGGTTACCCGCTGCCAATCAGTACCTATCCGGTACCCTAACAAATCTGCAACTGTTTAATATAGGTAACTTCTGACCATCACTATATCTTTAAATTATAGATATTTAATCTTTAAAGTGAACCAAACATAATTTAGGACAGTTAAAGTAATTATCTAAAATTTGATATTAACTAGTCTATCTTTTATAGAAAACTTGTTCTCTAAATATTTGGAAAACCTGTACTTAAACCCTAAATATGACAGCCAATTAGCGCCTGTCTTTTTAAACCTGGATTAGCAGGTACAGTATAGTTATAGACTAGGAATAGATAGGAATATACAGGAAATAGAAAATATAAATTAATGGAGTATGGAATAGTTAAATAAATATATGATCTTAGTTACTGCCAATATTATCCCTGATTTATCACAGGACAATAATGACTTGTTAACTTACTGAACTATAGAGATATTATATGAAACCCTAATGTTTCATGATTAGCGGTGGGCATTGGACCTAATTAAAATAGATAAAACAGGGACACTTGTCTACTGGACTATGTTTAATATAGATACTAGATACATTACTCTCTCTATAATAGAGTTAGTTAATAAAATTGTATGGATTTGTTTGACAGTCCTGCCATATAATCATATTACAGCTGGTGATGGTTGCCCGCTGCCGATCGGCACCTACCCAGTACCCCAATAAACCCGCAACTGTTTAATATGGGCAACTTCTGACCATCACTATATCTTTAAATTACGGATATTTAATCTCTGAAGCAAACCAAACATAATTTGGGGCAGTTAAAGTAACTGTCTAAAATTTAATATTAACTAGTCTATCTTTTGTGGAAAACTTGTTCTCCAAACATTTGGAAAACCTGTACTTAAACCCTAAATATAACAGCCAATTAGCACCTGTCTTTTCAAACCTGGATTAGCGGGTACAGCATAGTTGTGGGCTAGGAATAGATAGGAATACACGGGAAATGGAAAACATGAATTGATAGAGTATGGAATAGTTAAATAAATACATAATCTTAGTTACTACCAATATTATTCCTGATCTGTCACGGGACAATAATGACTTGTCAACTTACTGAACTATGGGGATATTATGTGAAACCCTAATGTTTCATGATTAGCAGTGGGCATTGGGCCTAATTAAAATAGATAGAACGGGGACACTTGTCTACTGGACTATATTTAATATAGATACTAGATACATTGCTCTCTCTATAATAGAGTTAGTTAATAAAATTGTATGGATTTATTTGACAGTCCTGCCATATAATCATATTACAGCTGGTAGTGGTTGCCTGCTGCCGATCGGCACCTACCCGGTACCCCAATAAACCCGCAACTGTTTAATATAGGTAACTTCTGACCATCACCACATCTTCAAATTACAGATATTTAATCTCTGAAGCAAACCAAACATAATTTGGGACAGTTAAAGTAACTGTCTAAAATTTGATATCAACTAGTCCATCTTTTGTGGAAAACTTGTTCTCTAAACATTTGGAAAACCTGTACTTAAACCCTAAATATAACAGCCAATTAGCACCCGTCTTTTCGAACCTGGATTAGCGGGTACGGCATAGTTGTGGGCTAGAACTGACAGGAAACATACGTTTGCGAATTTTGGTCGCTACTGGTCAAAGCGACGACATGGATCTGTTCGTTCAGCTTGATACAAGGCCGGCGATATTACCCCGAATGTCGCGTTCTCCATGGTCGATGACGGCCTCCTTGGCCTGGGCTGGTTGCGTGTCAGCCATCGCGAATTGGACATCGCGAAGACCACCATTGACCGACCGTTCCACACCCACGCACGCAGACTGCCTCTACGGCCGAATGAGATCGTGCTTGTGGACGTTGATATTCTCCCGACATCTACTCTCTTCCACGCCGGTGAAACTCTGCAGGGCGCATTCAGGGAAATGACTGCTTCCGCCACAAGACCCCGGACGTTGTTCAATTCCATGAGCGTACTGTCAACAAAGGGAAGCACTTCATCTGCTCAGCGAACAATTTGGAAACCTACTCGTTTTGCCTATCATTCAATGATCTGCGATTCCGTTGCGAAAGAAGACTGGAAGGGAGGAAGGGGAGGGGGGAGGACTGTCTTATGTTTAGTTACTTCGTACAGTGATATGTGCATGCAAATATTGATTATTTTGTTGATTTAAGCTACTGGACCACAGTCACTGCACGTGTGCGATTCAGGATATGTTCGGCGCTAGTGTCTCTGCTTCTTGTCGTGCTCACAATGCTGTTTGTGTGCCAGCAACAGTCGATCAAACGTAGTCATATCAATAGGTGAACTCTTTAGTTCTCCACGGTCTGCGGCAAATTGGCGATTGTTCTTCTGCGAAAGTTGTTCGTTACTTCCCAGGCCCCGGAATGAATGATTTGGAGCTTTGATACTGTACCAAGTAAGTGGTTTCGGTATTGCGAGCCCCGGACAAGAGCGGCGGAGACCCACTCTCAACATAACTGTCGGCCGGAGTTAAGAACCCACTGGCATCTCGGACTTGAGGGCATGCGAAAGACTGTATTCGGATGCCGGACGTTGCGGATAGTCCGAAGGCCGAGAACCATGGTGGATGAGTTGATGCATTCGACTTCGCCGTCGCACATGACGTCAATATAGTGAAGTCAATGACCACCAGGCGCTGTCATGCAAGCACGACTTTATGACGATGTTCTCTTTTCTCGGCCTTTGGAGATCCCCCTAAACGCGCGGCCATTGAGTACATGACTCGGGCCTCCAGTGCATTGAACTACGGCGTCCCGGTTAACTCTCTTCGTCGGCGAAGAGATAAATAGAGCTGATTATCTCTCTAATTCTCCCGCTCACTTGCTATCCTCAAAGGCTACACAGAAGTCCCTCTATCAAGGTATTGAATGCCTTACACACTTTTTCCATATAGCCAGCACCATCTAACCGTCTGCCTTAGAAAGCTATTGTTCGTCTGCAACTACACAAAATGGCGCCTACCCATAAACCACTTGACCAATCGACAACTTTCAAGGATATGCTTTCGACTGATCCTCCCGTCGCGCCCGTTGTGCTTCTTAATGTTATTTCAATCCCCAGCGGGACCGACAAAGCGTTATTCCTGCAGACTTGGCGCCGTTCTGCCGAGGTTCTAAAGAAGGCCCCGGGTTACATTTCAACCCAACTCCATACCGCTATTGGAGACGGTAACTTTATCGTCAACTATGCGGTCTGGGAGAATAACGAAGACCTGAAGAACGCTCTGGCACTCCCTGAATTTCTGAAAGTCTGTGAAGACTTTCCGGATGGTACCGAGTTCCGTGCCGCTGTCTTGCAGAAAGCTGCAATTGACGGTGTCTGTGTGGGTGTATAAGTCCAAAGAGGACGACGAGAGGCCTAGGAAATAGTACCAAGCACAATGATACTGGGCAGAAACTTCTCCCAGAGCTATGCACAACTAGCTTATACGTTAGCCTAGGCGATACAGCGAGAGACTTAGCAGCTGCCCGATTGCAACAAACGTATTAAGGTGCTATAGCAAACCAAAGACGGCGATACATTGAATAGAGGTAGTCCAAATGAAACCTAAAATATCCGTGCTCTAGTGAGCCCATACTATGGTAGATAGACGTTTATCCAAGTTTGGAAACCCCGAGAGCATGCTCAATCCCATACGCCCATTAGGATGGTTCGACTTGCTTTGGCCTGGTCTACAATCGCTTCTGCATACTTATTTCGACACGCAGGTTCGCGGGGTTAGTCAAGGAATGGGAGCAAAAGCCTCTGGAAATTCTTACCAAAGGGGCTGTACAATGCATTGCTGGTTTCACCCATTCGCGAAACTTCTCATGGCTATCATACCTATAGAGTTGTGTGGATCGGAGCTTTCGTGAGACCATACTTAGCAACGAGCCTCTTTTATGGGTCTCGTAAAAGTACTCGTTTTTAGCTTAGTTTCCCACCAGAACATCGTTCACAAGTGGATACTACCGATGATACATTTCAGAATCTTTCATTTTTTTGCTAATGACTAGTTTCTTATGTTGCGCTAGTGGGGAAAGCGAAGGAAGAGTGGTCTTGATACCCCGTGGATAAACGTGCCGAACCGATACACCATGGTTAATTAATCTATTAGTAGAAAACATCCTTCATAGCAGCCAAACACGAGCTAAGACGGTCACTGGTGCTAGGCGTAAACCAGTGCGTGTAGAGTAATCTGGTTTCGACTTTCTGTATAGTCTTTTCCAACGCCCTCTCGGCCGTGCACACTAGCTATGAGCTCATTACTACCCGGTTACTATAGCTAGAAATAATGTTCAGGACTTACATATGTGTACTCTGGAGGTTTCAGAAGTTGGCTTCTCTCTACCTCGTGCTGTAAGGATGGTATTGTGGGCCTTACTATGTAGAGTCGCTCGCATAATGTAGTGGAATCGTCAAAAAAAGAACTGACACCTAACTACGACAATCGCAAAGCATGCCGAAAGCAGCTTTTGTGCTATCCTCCCTTCTCCCCAAATCCAGTTAACTCCCAGTTCTAGTCAGGAACTAAACCTTTGCTCGGGAGCATCACGTCTTTGAACAATCAAGCTCGGCAAAATCTTCCAGAACTGGGTTTAGGTCCCGGAAGTGTTGAGGCAGATTAGCTAGAAAACCAATTACACACCCGCATCGGCACTCAACCGAGAAGTCCGCTCGGAGATGTGGGACAACGCATTCCACATGTTCAGAATGGCATAAATCTACATCTCAAAACTGTGCAGCGAGGCAAATGCAGTACAATATGCCAGTGTGAGCTGTTCTCTGATCGCAGTAGCATACCTAGTCTGAAGTATTATTTCGTTGCAAGTCACCTCTCTGCGCCTTATCACCAGAAGATCAATATCATGAACGAACCACTGGGCAGCACCTCCTTTCACGCCGTGCTTGACAAAAACCTGGGCTCCTGCCCTCATGAATCTACAGGAGGTCGAAACAATTTTGGATGGTCACATCGCGTGCTCTGTTGATGTCATTCTTGAAGGACTCATTGCTCACCAGTGATTGCTATGGCTCATGTATTATCCTTCACGGTGACATCAGGCAGCGCGTCTACCACAATTGATTCTGTACAGCCGGGCTTCTAGGCATGTCGTCATAAACAGTAGTGTGTGTCGATTGTTGAGGTGACCCTGCCGGCAAGACATTGATATAATTGGAGGACGCATTGAACTGATTGTAAACTTAGCCGCGGCTAACATTGCTTCGTAATGGTAGTCGTAAGGCGGAAGAAGGGAAGAAAGAGTGTCGGAGCCGCCTTCAGTACTAACCGCTGCCAATGTAGTAGTCGTGAGTAAGAATATTTACTAACCTACCTAGCAGCTTTCATATCGGGAGACCCAGCACGACCCGAGATCAAACAGATGCCGAAGAACCGGCCAGAGTAATAACCACATCACTGATTCTGGCTGTAGATTGCTGTAGGGTTAAGGGATCCGAATGCCGGCCCACGGACAACTCGGAGTCCGAAGACCGAGGCACTGGGAAGATACAGAGAGGGAGCCCGCTTCGGGACACGCACGCGGGGCGGCGGGAGCACGGGGGAACATCAAATATCGGCCAATCAGTGGGCGAGAAAATCCACCCAACGTAGGGTGGAATTAAGCCTATGGAATCCCGAACCCTAGTGGTAGCGGAGGTCCGCTACGGCGGGGCCGTTGGGGGATAGGCGGCAGCGCCCCTCTCATTGTTGGTGGGACACTTACTATCTCTCCCACATGTGCCTGCGCTCCGGTCTTCGGCCCGACGCTCCCGTATCTGAGGCTCTTTTCTATCCCCTGAATCCTCGCCTTTATAGCTTAGGGCATTCGGGCCCTCGGAGACTTCAACTGTCCTTCCTTCGATCTTGATATTTCCAGGCTGAGATCTCCACTTCTAAGTTAAGCGTGTTCTCTGGGACGCCCATCAAAGGTGACCGAGAGATACGTATAAATAGTCGGTTATAAATTGACCGGTTCGAACTTGTAATCCGCTAGCCTCAACGCTATCTTCGAGTAGCCCAAGAGTCTTAGGCTTTGGCGACACAAGTTTATGTTAGAAATATTACACCTCTATGAACTTCCTGCCCAGTAAAAACCTGTTCAGAGTCCAAAAAAGTGACAGGCTGTATTAAAAGGGACGCCTGCTCGTCCGACTGCTCCTGCAAGACATCCTCTATAGCGACTGATTTATATATAATGCTTGGTTTTGCGGCTTTTACCGTCGCTTATCTGGAAAACCGCACATATCACCTCCTGAAGGGGTACTCGGGCTCCGGAATATATCTGTTGTCTTAATAAAGAAGTCCCAAATCTAATGCGTCTCTGAACTCTTCCCTGACACTTTCGAATTAGGCTCCGCCAGAGCCATGTGTTCTATCCCGATGTCGGGCTCACCGCGGACACACCTGCCGTACCCCCACCAGTATAGTCGGACTGTAGTTCGACTCTGGTGCACCCCTCCTAGTTGGAGCGTATGATGTTGTGGCATTTGGCTTAGATAGAAGAAGGCAAGTCCGAGGTGGAATGAGTGTTTAGGTTGAAAGGACTCGATATGGCTTCCAACAAGAGGCAGTAGTGGGTTTGGATGGAGGAGGGTATTAGTAGCAGAAGTTGATATTATCAAGGGTTATGGACATTGTTTACACTAGTTTTGAGAGGACTGTCGACGCTCGAAATTCTGGGTAATAAACTGAACTTTTCCACTTGAAAACATACTTTTCAGGTGGATAGGTCAAACACTGGCATACATCCTATTATTCACACAGTGGATTTGGAAGTTGATCGGTCTGAACATGCTCGGACGCGTAATCCGTCGTAGCTCAAAAGAATAGTGGGAATAATTATTAGTGTCTCAGCGTCAGCACAATCCGATCAATGCGCGGGAATCCTAACTAAGGAATGGCCGCGTGACCCATAACCCTATTCTCCGGTCAGATTGTATCATTTAAAGTCAACGCAGGAAATCCGAGCAGGCACAAACGAGCATCACACAGAATACGGCAGGACCAAGTGTCGCAACTTATCTAAGGATGCTACCACTTCATTCCTCCCAATCGGGTGTATATCTCTCGCTTCAGGAAATCAGGAAGCATGGCCAACGAGCGATAAATTCCAGGCACTGAGCTGGTGAGACAACAGAAATCTTCCAAACCCCATTGCGAGTGTGAGGCAGCGCCATTAGGCACTTTTGCCATTGGGTACGCAGGATCTGGCCGAGTTCGCGGGGGCAAAATTTGTGAGGCTGGATGGCAGGGAGGGAATCGGAAGCACTGTCGGGCCGGACTTGGTCAAAAGAGACCCAAAATGGTGTTAGGTGGTATGTTGAAGTTTGAGAAAATGTCATCCTCCAGTAAATCGCCAAAGCGGCTGTCCGCGCTCAAATCTGATTCCGTAATGTTCACGAGCGAACTAGGAGCATTCGACATGTTGTAGGAATGGTTAAGAGTGGACGAAGGCTTTGGATGATAAGCCCCCTGGGACCGTTTTGGCGGCGGCGGCCGCAGGTCTTCTGGCCACGGTCGACAATAGTCTCGAGTAAAGGCTGATCCATCATTGCGGGCAAGACCCAACAGATTCCTTCTTGCTTGGAGAGCTCGATCAGTGAGGCGGGGTATGGCTGGCCACGTCCCTTTAGCATCTCGCCAATTCCACAAGTTGTAAGCAGACGTAATCGCCAACCAAGCACGGTCCACATCAGGGCCCGATACGCGGACACAGAGCTCCGCAAGGGCGAAAGCTACTGCATTCCATTGATTGTTATTTTTGAATACCCAACTCCAATTGCCAGTATCTCTTTGACTGGTCTCCAGGAAGACCGAGAGCTCGATGATATCGACGGAAGTTGCGAACAGAAATTCGTGGATTTTCGCCATAGACTCTGTAGTAGGCGTTTCCCCCGGTGAAACTCCGTTGTAAACGTAGAGCCGTAGTTTTGAAAGCACCAGTTGAGAAACGGCGCAGCAGAACGAATGCATGGCGATGGCAGGATTGCAGGATTTCAGATACTTCTCATATAACCGCTGCTCAAGATCAGTGACAAGCTGCTGGCGGTGCGTGACCATATCCTCCATGGAGGCATTATGATGTGTGGTCGAGGAACGCTTTAGGACGAGGTAAGCTGCTGCGATCTGGAATCGGATCAATGAAAAAGTCATATCTGTAAAACCAAAGCGTTCCCGTGGAAACTCCGTGGCGCCAGGGACTAGGTCATTATCATTGATGTTTAGCGGGAACCGAGTGTCGTACTGCCCATCCTGAACCATGGGCTCCGTGCGATGATCTTCTGCGCATTGGACATCCAGCACTACGATATGCCACCAAAGCCGCCGAGACATCTCTGTAGTGATTGGAGTCTTGGCGGACAAAGTGCTTTCACGATCAAGCTCCAGCCGTTGTGCAAGACGCAAAACGATCGCTAACATCGTCCATGCAAAACTCCCCTGATCAAGCCGGCGAACGCAAATGAGGTACAGAACCGCAGATTGCAACAATTCCAGACTATGCGAGTTGATGAAATCAGCCTGGGTGAGAGCGTTCTCGACAGCGAGACGATATCTGTGGATCGCCTCCTCTTGGCGTTCGCCGAGCTTGTCTAAACATTGAGCGGGTGTCATACTCGTGATTGCAGACAAGTAAACGGCGAGGAGAATAGCCTTTCGCGGTTTATTGATTACCTCTGTACGCTTACTCGCCTGCGTCAGAAGCTCTTCAAGTGTTCGCCGATGCATGATGCTCACAAGAGGGGCAACATTATCTAAATAGCTCTGCCAAAGTACACGCTGCTGTGAAGTATCGGAGCCGATAAATAGCAAAGGACACGTGACAGGTTGCAGTCCAAAAAGCAGTGTGTTACGTGTTTCCGGCGAACCCGATAGCACGCTTCGGTTTTGGCGACAGTGCAGGAATGGAGGGGAATTGACGGAAGGACCGTGCAGCCCACTCGTTCCGACGGCCTTCAGTCTTCAGTTAGCAGGGGCGCTTTGATGTGGACCGACATAGAATCACTCGAACTGACGTGCCATGTCACTTGGGCAGTCCTTACTGCATTCGCTGTTGCTGAGCACGCCATACCCAACGGATCAAAACCGTGGCCTTCTGACACCACGTCTTGCCTACAAGGAACAGCACCACCTGCGAGCTGATCCTTCCGAGAGTTACGATCGACGAGGTCCCCTCCGGGTTCAACGTCGCTTGCGTCGGCTGTGCTTCCCAGGGCGGGGGGCGAGAATAGTTCTACCGGTGAGACTGGTCGTTCCATTCTGCCGTTTACGTCTCTGCTGAGAGTGACTAGGGATTCTTCCAAGCGCTGCATTCGAGCGGACAATTCAGCACTCGTAGTATTCCTTCCCCTTCTCGCTATTCGCGCCGGGCGTGGAAAAGTACATTCGTGCTGAGATTTGATACAGTTAGAACAGGGTATTTGCCGGTCACATCGGATTTTCTTCTGTCGACAGCTGATGCAGCTGAGTTGATTTGAAGGCGCATTTCGCGGCGTCGCTCCGGGTGCGTGGGCGTCCCCCGAGTGAGAGTGACCACTGCTAGCTTGCATTATCAGGAACAAAAGCTCACAGCGGCCGCGGTGCGCAAATAATTCATTCAAGTTGAAAGGGTGACTGTGGGAAGAAACAGATCCGTGGAGAGTGTCGTTGCACCATCCGTGATGATTGCGCAGCCATGTGGGTACGGGCGGCCTCGTCGGTGTCATCGGAGTCGCGCGGTTCATTGTCCGAAGACAAAGTTTCCCTGACAATACGCTGTGCATTATCTAGTAAAATAATAACACTCTCAAGCTCCACTGGGCCCGCCTCGTGGGCCTATTTATTGTGAGGACTTCTCGCGAACATTGGGGCACTGCATGCAACTTCAAGTTGTTGGCCCCTTTACAGGTCACAGGTTCATCTAAGGGACAATTGTCTTCACGCGAGTTGTATATCTAAAGCCCTCAAGCCGCAGCATGGCCCGCCAGGACTCAGATCGATCTCTCCCCTGCCTACATCGGCAATCCCTGAAAGACAAAGTCGCTGTCATCAGCGGGTCCCACGGAGGCCTCGGCGCCCAGATTGCCCGGGAACTCTCAGAGAGCGGTGCAAAAATCGTCCTTAACTACCCATCCTCCACTCGACGAGACCGAGCAAATACAGTTCTAAATAGTCTGCATACGCCTGCCATCGCCGTGGAAGCCGATATCTCGACCACTACCGGGCCTCAAATCCTCATAAATGCAGCCGTCGCTGCCTTTGAAGTAATTGACATCCTAGTCAATAATGCTGGGAAGACGGTGGATCTTCCGTTTGAAGAGCAGACCCTGGAGCATTGGGAGACGTTGGTCAACGTGAATGGCCGCGGAACCTTCCTGCTCACCCAAGCGGCTCTTCCTCATCTTTCGCCCCAAGGATCGCGAATCATCAACATTTCGAGCATCTCGGCGAAGGAAGGAATGGGTATGCAAACGTTATTATCCGGAACCAAGGCTATGATTGAGAGTTTTACCAAGGTGTGGGCCAAGGAGCTCCCTCCGAAGTATCACTGCACCGTCAACTGCGTGTCCCCTGGACCAACGCGCACCGAAGCTTTCGGCGCGGCTTTGGCTGGAGCGGAGTTCCAGAGGATCATAAATCCTCTTATTGAGGGCACACCCGTTGCCAACAGACCTGCAGAGACAAGTGAGATATCGTACGCCGTCCTAATGCTATGTCATCCACGTGCGACATGGCTGAATGGGGTCAACCTGATTGTAAGTGGCGGGTTGGGCGTCTAATCATTCAAATAACATCTTGATCTGGCAAAGTACAATTCTGGGCGTGGCAACTGAGTGTGATGTCACTACTGCGCATGATTTCCTGTTGCTATACCAGCCAAATTGCTGAAATTCAGGTATGGGATCGGGATACATGACGGCGGACAATGAACTGGTGGCCTCTTGCTGAAAATATCATAGGCATTAGCCGCACGTCCCGCCATCAATGCAAACGCGTCCAGCGTCTCCCTCCTTCACCCTTCGCATTTCGGACATAATGCGGTTTCCATACAGATAGCCATCGGGCGCCAGGGCAAGCAGGGGCTAGAATACCAAAGTAACGTCGGAGGTTCGCGCGTGCGGATATCTCACTTGGACTCCCCATACTTAGTAAATAGCTCGTGAACTTTGGCTTGGTTTTCTATCTCCTCAGCAAAGGGCGTTTTTGAGAATTCGTACGACTTTCCGTCATATATAATCCACCGTTTAAACTGCGAACAGCGTTAGACACAGTATATACGTTGTATGGAGGACGTACACTTGAAAGCCTCACTCCGAGCCAGAGACATCTGTGTCTTCTGGATATCTCCAAAATTGGCCGGTGTATGTTGCGTTCGTCTTCCTCCGTCGGGCAGTCTCCGAAGAAACCATGCGGATAAAAAGATTGGCTCCAAATTTGTCCGCGAATAAGAATGTCCTCCGGTGTCCATCGTATATCATCCGACCAAGGCAGCTTGTCACCTTCAATAAGCTCAACATCAAACGGGAATCTCGCAATCCCATTCAAATATTTGACACAGTGGCAGGGAGTTCGTCGAGGATTTCGTGCCTTGGGCGAAGCTTGTCAAATATTTGAATGGGATTGAGATCAAGAATCAGTCTCCTATCTGAATAATATCTACTGCCTGCCTTTGACCTCTCTCTCCCTCCCAGCCTACGTATCCTTACCTAGTTGACAGGTCTTCTACCCTGAATAGTAGATATCCTTGACAGATCCTATCAGATCTTCTTCTACTCTAAATCTTTGCACAGTCCAGATAATCTACTCTAATATATAATATCTATAATATCCCTGCTGGCCTATCCTTACTTAGGTCTAACAGGTCTATACAGTTACTTATTAACCTGCCTGATTTATACTTCTCTCTGCTAACCTTGCTAGCCAGTAATTTTAATCTTCTACACAGTAGATAGTAAATCTCACTCCAGCAAGGGCTCTCTATCTTAACTGAGCCAGTGACAGAATAGCTTAACAGGCTTGGACTAGTATTTATCTCTGAAATAGATATTTCTATATATAATAAAGATAATATTCTTAATCTAATCTTTATCTCAGGTACTCTAGCTCTTGCTGGAGCAAGAACTAGAGTAATAAGTTATCTAGATACTATATTAGATTATTATTCCCTTTTTACTGTCCTACCCTGGGGCCAGAGATATTCAGAGGCCCTATAAAAACTAAAGTTCAGTATTCTTAATATACCCTGATTCTATATATTCCTGGCTTAAAATATTGAAGGCCTCTTAACTATATTAGAATCAGAAAATACATTAGATAGCCTTATAAATAGAATTATCTAAACTATTTATAGTATATACTTAGTCTCGGCACTTCAATCCTTATCTTAGGATAGAGACTAATTCTGGTAAAATATAGAATATAAAGATACTAGGTTATCTTCTTTATTACAGGCTGCTCAGTACAAATCTGACTTAATAGTGAACTAGAACCTATAATAGAGATACTCTGCAGTCTACTATAGGACTCACTAGTGTTACTAATTCTATTTATGCTTTCTCTATTATCTCTCTTCTGGCTGAGCCGCTTAAAAGCCAGGTTTGGCTATATAAATAATACAGTAACCTTAGCTATCTCATAATCTTTAGAGACTAACTATTAGAGACTATCAGAATCTCTATAAAAAGCCGTGAACTGGAATTCTGAAGAAGAGATTATCTTTATATCAGATAAATATATGTTAGGCGCACCTTACAGCGCCTGCGGGTGATATAGTAGCACGTGCGGGTCACGTGCTACCCGCTGCGGTAAAATCTTTACCGCACCCCAATGGCTTCAGAAACCAGTGATCAACCTCTGTGTATGGTAGTAGATCATTCAATAGGAACCCAGTCCTCTGCTCCTGCCACCTGCGGCGCCGTAGCACGCTATTCCCCTACTACCTGCGGCTCTCTGAGCTGCAATTAACAATTTTGATCACTCTCTTGGGTTCTCTTACCCCCGAATAGCCCGCTATGGCACCGCAGACGCGCAGGGCAGTAGCTCCTGCGGGAGACACTGGATCAAATACCCAAAGCCCCAGGGAACTGCATGACCCGACAATCTCAGAATCGACCCCCATGACAATAGCCGCAGCTACTATATCGCAACCCCACAGAAACATAACTGCGCAAGCGGGATCAGGAAGCACCTCTCCATCAACAATAAGAACCCCAAGTCCTGCCCTAGAGGAAGAAGTGCAGCTCATGGAGCAAGAATATCAGCAGATCTAACTAGAGCTGCAAAAGCAGGAACTCAACTGCCTGATTAAGCAAGAAAAGCAAAAGCTACAGGAAGTAACTGAACACATAGAGGCGGAACTATTATACCCTGAACCAGAATTAAATAAAGCAAACAGAAATAACGCGATGTAAGTCCAGAAAGTGCGGATATCTTCCCCCCGCAGGTCTTCTAGCCGACCAGTAATAAGCGAAGAATACTACAGAAAGAATATGAAAGAATATACTATATTTATAGCCTGCATGAAGAATCACTTTACTGTCAATTGATACTATTTCACCAATAATGCAATAAAGGTTGCGGATGGCATCTCCTACCTATCGGCAAACCTCATACGCCTGTGGGATCAACATACCAACAAACAGGAACATGACCCTACTTAGGGCAAGTTCTGCGACTTTCTTCTGTGGCAGTTAAATGACCCTGTCAATTTACAGCGGGATACGAACCAGAAATACCATAATACAAAACAATAATCCTACCAAACTGTACAGAAATTTGCTGCATTTATCGCGCAATAGGAAGTGTAACTTCCGGAATCTTATACTGAACTATAATAAAAGAACTATCTTCAGGCACAAGTCCTAGAAAAGCTGCAGCAAGAATCACTAAAATATCTGAATAAACCTGATAAATATGAAAACTTTATAGCGCATCTCTAAACCATTAAGGACAGCCTGCTATATCACAGGGCAAATCAAGAAAAACAGTGTACTAACTGATATGCATTAACACTGCCATTCCCGCAGCAGGGACAAGCCCTTAGAAAGAGATTGTTATTTAACAGAATCTTATTACTGAGTCCGAATCATAACCCGCAGGAACGGAAGTCCAATATAGGTAATAGAATAAGCTACAGAAATAACAAGGACAGCCTACAGGACAAATACTATTACTGCAGATATTTCAGACACTGAAGTAGAGACTGCTGCATGGCTAGAGTTAAACCAACAATAACTGCGGCTAACATGCTAAAAAACTAGATACCTGAGACTGTGATGTAGCTGCAGTTCTAGGGATTAAGACTAATCAAAAACTAAATAACTTGATAAGTATATGGGTAAAGCTGCGTATACCAGCAGGCCAAAAAGAAGCCAAAGTATTGATTAATAGTGGAGTCCAAGTAGTCCTGATAAACCAGATATGGGCAAAAGAAAACTTACCTACGGCACAGAAAGTATCTAGAAAGATTATGGCACTAGACAGGCATAAGATCCCCTTATACGGCAGATACCAGGTCACTATAGGTGCGGAGGATTGCCAGAATGTCAGACAGGAGACAGTTTTCACTGCGGATATGATAGACATGGAGAACTATAATATTATTCTTGGCTATTTATGGCTATGGAAAGCAAATCCCCTGATTAACTGGTAAGCCCGTAACTTTATCTATAGGGATAGCTGCAGCAGCAATCCCATACCAATAGTTTCAAGCGCAGAGATGGTCTGAGCAGTAGAGGAAGGTCTCTCTATCTATATAGCCCACGTGAATATCTATGAAGATAAGATTAAGGTGTGGACTGCTAGCATAGCAGCGGTAACTAAAGAAGCAAAGCCAGAGATACTAAAGAAGTACCTGGAATTTTAGGAAGTCTTCTCTGAAGAAGAAGCGGGGAAACTACCTCTATATATAGAATATGATCATACAATTGAATTAATCCCTAGGAAACAGCCACCACACCAGCTGATTTACTCTCTATTTAAAAAGGAGCTTAAAGTGCTCTGAGAATATATTACTACTGCACTTAAAAAAGAATAGATAAAATCCTTAAAAAGCCCAGCAGGAACACCTATTATGTTTATGCCAAAGAAAGATAGCAGCCTGCAGCTATATATGGATTACTGCAGATTAAATGAAATCATAATCAAGAACTGCTATCTGCTACCGCTAGTTAATAAGACAATAGATTATTTAGTGGAAGCAATAATTTACACTAAGTTAGACCTGCAAGATATGTATTATTGTATTTGTATTAAAGCAGAAGATAAGTGGAAAACTACTTTCCGCATCTGTTATAGCTATTTTAAATATCAGGTAATACCTTTTGGCCTAGCCAACGCACCTGCAATATTCCAAGCATATATTAATAAGGCTCTCAGTAACCTACTTAATATATGCTGTATGGTCTATCTAGATGATATCCTTATCTATTCAATATCAGAAGCTCAGCATGTATAACACGTGCGGGCAGTCCTGGAATGACTGCGGCAGTATCAGTTATATACTAAACTGAGCAAGTGCGAGTTCTATACCACATATGTGAGCTATCTAGGATTCATTATCACACCGCAAGACATCGAAATGGAGCCTGAGCAGGTAGAAACTATAGACTTATGGCCTGAGCCTACTACAGTACAGGAGATTCTAATGTTTACTGGCTTCATAAACTTCTACTGCAGATTTATTAAGAAATACTTGCGCATAGCGCTGCCTCTGATAGACCTTATAAGAGATCCAGAAAGCGGAAAGAAAGCCAAAAATAAACTATATAAACCTACAGGA